TACTGAAAAAAAAGAACAAAGTTTGATGACTGACACTACCCAACTTCAAGACTTACTGTAAAGCTACAGTAACCAAGACAGTGTGTTATTGACAAAAGAATAGCAAATAGATCAATGAATAGAGAGCCCAGAAATCAACTGACATAAATATAGTCAATTGATCTTTCACAAAGGAGCAAAGGCAGTACAATGGATAAAGCTTTTTAATATATGAAACAACTGGACATCTACATGTAAAAAAATGAATCTAGATATAGACTTTACACCCTCCACAAAAATTAACTCAAAATTCAGATCATAGGCCTAAATGTAAAACACAAAACTACAAAACTCCTAAAAGATAGCATAGAACATCTAAATGACCTGAGATATAGTTATGACTTTTTAGATGTAATACCAGAGGCATGATCTATGAAAGAAATAATTGATAAGTTGGAATTCATTAAAAGTAAAAACTTCTATTCTGCTGAAGACAGTATCAAGATAATTAGAATACTAGCTACAGACTGGCAGAAAATGTTTGCAAAAGACGTATTTGATAAAAAGTTGTTATCCAAAATACACCAAGAACTCTTAAAACTCAACCGTAAGAAAATGAAGAACCAGGCCGGATGTGGTGGCTCACGCCTGTAATCCCAGAACTTTGGGAGGCCGAGATGTGTAGATCATGAGTCAAGAGATAAAGACCATCCTGGCCAAAATGGTGAAATCACATCTCTACTAAAAATACAAAAATTAACTAGGTATGGTGGCATATGCCTGGAGTCCCAGCTACTTGGGAGGCGGAGGCAGGAAATCGCTTGAACACAGGAGGAGGAGGTTGCAGTGAGCCCAATCATGCCACTACTACTCTCCAGCCTGGGTGACAGAGTGAGACTGTCCCCCCCCCCAAAAAAAAAGAAGAAGAAGAACCCAATTTTAAAATCAGCAGAAGATCTGAACAGCTATCTGTATTACCAAAGATGGAAATACAGATGGAAAGATATACGATGGAAAAAAAGCACAAGAAAAGATGCTCTGCTTCACATGTCATCAGAAAACTACAAATTGAAACAATGAGATACCACTACACACCTATTAGCATGGCCAAAATCCAGAATCCTGACACCACCAAATGCTGTGGAGCAACAGGAACTCTTCAATCATGGCTGGTAGGAATGCAAAATGGTATAGACATTTTGCAACACAGTTTGACAGCTTCTTACAAAACTAAATATACTCTTATCATACAGTCCAGCAATTGCAATCCTTAGTATTTACCCAAATGAGTTGAAAACTTATGTCCACACAAAAATCTGCACATGGATGTTTATAGCAACTTTATTCATAATTGCCAAAACTTGGAAGCAACCAAGATGTCCTTCAATAAGTGAATGGATAAATAAACTGTGGGACATCCAGACAATTGAATATTTACAGTGCTAAAAAGAAAAGAGCTATCAAGGCATAAGAAGGCCTGGAGGAAACTTAGATATATATTTATTACAGCCTTTTCAGATATATAGTTATATCTGTATACTTCCAACTGTATAACATGGAAAAGGCAAAACTGTGCAGACAATAAAAGGTCAGTGATTGCTAGAGGTTGCTAAGAGGAGTAGGAATGAACAGGAAGGGCACAGAGGATTTTTAGGGCAGTGAAACTATTCTATATGATACTCTAATCATGAATACATGTCATTATACATGTGTCAAAACCCATAAAATGTACAATACCAAGAGTGAACCCTAATGTAAACTATGGACTTTGGGTGATAATGATGTATCAATGTAGGTTCATCAATTGTAACAAATGTACCACTCTGGTGGGGGATGTTGATAGTGGGAGAGGTTGTGCATTTGAGGGCAGGTAGGGGGACAGGGAAAATATGGGAACTCTGTATTTTCTGCTCACTTTTGCTATGAACCTAAAACTGTTGTAAAAAAATAAAGTTTATTTAAAGGGAAAAAGAAAAAGAAAACATCACTGATTTTAGCTGAATGGAGATTATTACAAAGCATTTCTGCCCTCTGAAAGCTAATAAGAATACGCAGTTCTAGAAAGGTTCCTACATAATAGGATCTTACACTGGAATCCATGACCAAACTCCATGAAAATATATGCAATGTGTGAGTGTGTGTGTGTGTGTATGTTTTCAAACATGCCTTTCTTCCACTGGGAGGAACTCCAAACCTTTCATCATGATTCTTAGTGCTTGATCACTACCCCCTTCCCAAAATTTGAAGGATCTCAGGCCTACAGCAATCAGCTCTGAGTATGTGCTTCTGACGCCTTTCATTTTTTTCCCAGCGGCTGATTCACAGTCAGCAAATGATGCAGTAGCAAGATCCCTCCCCAGCTTCACAAAAGAAATGCAGCTTGTAGGCTGCCTGCCATGCTTGGATGTCAGCTGATTACCCATGACTGATGATTGGTTCACATCCCTTCAAGGGAGAAGCTGCCATGTGCTTTGTGTCCAGAGATGCAGAGGAAACACACTGTGACACTCAGGAATAGCACCTTCCCAGACACAGACATGGCCAGTTGGAGGACCTACCCACCCTTCTACCCCAGGAAAAGAGAGAAGGCAGGGGAAAATATATAGCATATACTCACAATTACCAATATGGTTATAGCTATGCCTGTCTCTCCCTCAACCGCTTGACTTTTCCATCTGAAGTCTAACCTAAAACTATTTTTAAATCAAGAAACCGACCAGGCACAGTGGCTCATGCCTGTAATCCCAACGCTTTGGGAGGCCGAGGCAGGCAGATAACCTGAGGTCAGGAGTTCGAGAACAGCCTGGCCAATATGGTGAAACCCCATCTCTACTAAAAACATAAAAATTAGCCGAGCATGGTGGCAGGTGCCTGTAATCCCAGCTACTCGGGAGGCTGAGGCAGGAGAATAACTTGAACCCAGGAGGCGGAGGTTGCGGTGAACCCAGGAGATCGTGTCATTGCACTCCAGCCTGGATGACAAGAGCGAGACTTTGTCTCAAAAAAAATAAAATACTTCAATGTACTTGTGTGATTTCCTATTCCTGCTACAAAGTAAATATAGATAATAAGAAAATTCTTCACTTATAATAGAGATTATAAGTCTTGCATTTCCAAAAGAAATGCAAGAATATCAAATACCACATGTTCTCACTTACAAGTAGGAGCTAAATGACGAAAAGTTATGAACACAAAGAAGGAAACAACAGACACTGGGGTCTACTTGAGGGTGGAAAGTGGGAGGAAGGAGAGGAGCAGAAAAGATAACAATTGGGTACCGGGCTTAGTAGCTGGGTGGTGAAATAATCTGTACAACAAACCCTGTGACATGAGTTTACCTATGTAACAAACCTTCACTTGTACCCCCGAACCTAAAAGTTTTTTTAAAAAACAGGCCAGGCACAGTAGCTCACCCCTGTAATCCTAGCACTTTGGGAGGCTGGGGCGGGCGGATCACTTGAGGCCAGGAGTTCAAGACCAGCCTAGTCAACACGGCAAAACCCCATCTCTACTAACAAAACAAAAATTAGCCAGGCATGGTGGCGCAGGCTTGTGATCCCAGCTACTTGGGAAGCTGAGGCAGGAGAATCACTTGAACTCATGCGGCGGAGGCTGCAGTGAACCGAGATGGCGCCCTGCACTCCAGCCTGGGTGACAGAGCAAAACTCTGTCTCAAAAAAATAAATAAATCATAAAAATAAAAAATAAACAAACAAACAAAAAAATACAATTGTCTTAAGACTCCATTCCCAGAAATCCCATCAAATAACCAGGAAAGATTAACTACTGGAAAAGAGGAGAGACTAAAAGTCATCACCACACCCAGACAGACTTTCCGTCTACTTTTCTGTAGACAGTTCTGAGAGACTACTGAAATGATTTTCCATGCATAATAAGATAACCTTTGTTCACAGCGCCCCAAACTTTCCCACAACTTGTTCTGTTCAGCTTTCAAAGGGGATCATTTACAAACTACTGTCTGCTCTTTGGGCTCATTTGATTCCCCTGAAAATCATTTGCTATGCCTCAAAATTGTCTACACCCCCATTTCCCTGTCCTTGACGAAGAGGGTGCTATTTAAGCCTCAGCTATCTGGCCCTTCTTTGAGTCTCATATTTGTGGGACTCCTGTGTCCACGTGCATATTAATAAATTTGTATGCTTTTTCTCCTGTTAATCTATTGTGTTTGTTTAGCAGACTTGAACTTGCAGGAGCGTGGAGGGTATTTTTGTTCCGACACCTTTTTCATGAAGTAAAAGACAAACCAGTAGACTGTTTAGCCCTTACAAGTTGTCCTTCCAAGGAATGAAGTAAGCTAATTTGCACTGCAGCAAGGAGAGACAAATAGCATGGCAGTCACCTAAGAAACATAAAATACTTTACACAGACAAAATAACCATGCAGGATATGAGTTGCCAGTCACACATTACACGCTTTACAATTGTCATAGTAAATATTTATTCAGTACAAAAATTGTCTTTTGATAGGCCACAAGACACTGGGTACATCAAGGTGATTAAGAAGGACACAATCTGGCCGGTCACAGTGGCTCATGCCTGTAATCTGAGCACTTTGGGAGGCCAAGGCGGGCAGATCACCTGAGGTCTGGAGTTCGAGACCAACCTGGCCAACATGGTAAAACCCCGTCTCTACTAAAAATACAAAAATTAGCCAGGTGTGGTGGCGGGCGCCTGTAATCCCAGCTACTCGAGAGGCTGAGGCAGGAGAATTGCTTGAATCCGGGAGGCAGAGGTTAGAATGAGCCAAGATTGTGCCACTGCACTCCAGCCTGGGCAACAGAGCAAGAGTCTGTCTCAAAAAAAAAAAAAAAAAAAAAAAAAAAAAATTCCTCGCTCTCCAAGTGCCTAAAATCTAAATAAAGAATGATTGGTAACCATGCAAATGACTATCAGCCGAGAGGACTGAGGGTCTCCTAAGAAGTAACTGTGATGGTGTTGTTACCAAACCAAACTTGGTTCCACTGGGCCAGCACAGCAAAGTCAAACACTGACATCGGATTGCAGTGAGAGAAATGAGGCATTTATTGCAGGGTGCCAAGCAAGAGAATCATGTAGCTAATGTTTAAGAATGAAACTCTCAGAGGGCTTACAGGCAATCGTGTTTAAAGATGAAGAGGAAGAGGTTTCAGGTAAAGTCATAAATTAATACACGAAGGCTATACTTTGGTGTGACCTCTAAAGGCAGGACATCTTGAAGCAGGGACCCGCAGGTCAGAGGTGGATTCAAAGATGTTCCAACTTGCAATTGGTTAAGGAGGCACAACTTTGTCTAAAAATTTGGGATCAGCAAAAAAATAATGTTAGTTCCGGCTCATGAGCATGGCCTCCTCCAGGCCCCTCAGGAAGAAATTTAGACCAAAGAATGGCAGTTGGAGTTCAGTCTCAGCTCCCCCTTGTCTGAGGTCTACAGAACATTTAGTGGGTGTCCAGGTTTCTGAAAAAACAATTCAGGGACACGTGTTAAGATGTTATCTTTAGTTTCTATGGGGAACCAAACATTTCATCACTCAAATTTCCTTGGCTGTTGTTTTAAGCTATGATTACCTTCTTGCTTATCAAGTTCTCGTTTGATTCTCAAAGCTAGCTGGGTGCCTGGAATTTCTCTTGAAGGAACTCAATATTTGTATTTAGTTCCATGCTTGGCAAGGAGCAGGGTGGGTGGTGGGGAGCTGCAGGTCCCTAAGAGAGGTCCCTGCTTTATCTCAGTATCATCAGGGTTCATGGAGGAGCTGGTGTTTGAGAGCATGAGCTGTGGAGAACATGGTGAATAAAAAAGAAAAGCCAATGTATGAATCAGGAAGCAGGGGAGGTGTTCTGGGAATAGTGAGCCATTTGGTTCCCTGGGTGCACAATGAGCAGCAACAAAAGAGGGTGGAGAGGAACGGGGGCCCCGCTTAGAGAAGCAGGGGCTGGTATCACAGTGTGAATTCCCAGGGCCACATTGCTCAGTTTCAAATCCCCACTCTGCCTTTTGCTAGCTTTGTGGCCTTAAGAGTAACTTCTATGTACCTCAGTTTCTTCAGCTGTAAAACAGGATCAGTAATAGTGCCTGCATCATAGGGTTGTAAGAATGAAATGGGTTAATATGTGTAAAGTGTTCAGAACCACACCTGGCATGTAGCAAATGCAGCATGAGAGATGGCTGCCGAGATCATTACCATGGAGGACCCGAGAGGTCAGGGTGAAGCATTTGTTCAGTTTGGACAGAGAGCCAGGAAAGCCCTCTGAGCTGGGACAGGAAAAAATTGGACCTAGACTTTGAGACAATGAGTCTGGCATGAGGTAAGGGAGGGAACGAAATGGGAATGGCAGTTGGGAATTGGAGAAGTGATCATGGGCTCCAGGCTGTGGCAGAGGGAGTTCTCCCCCTGAAGATAATGTGGGTAGCTTCCAAGGCCTTCTTAGCATTCGGATGGCTGTACCCCTTAAGGCTCCTACTCTTCGCTCAAACCACCTGATTAGAATGTAAAAGACCATGAAAGGGGTTTAATATCTGCGACAGGAAAAGCTGCTCTCCAAAGAGTGGAAAGTAACTCTTGATATATCAAAAGGAAAACCGACCTCTAAGAGCTTCCAGTTTTCTTTCTGTGTCCTGAACTAAGACTGAAAGGAAGCTAAGGATGTCTTGTTTAAAAGGACACACAGGTCTTCACAAAAGAGAACAGACACTTCCCTCTTCGGAAGGTGTTGAGTATTACTTTAAAATTCCCTTCTAAAGGCTTGTCCCAAAATCTATGTTCTTACTGTGTGCTATTTCCATAAGATAAAATAACAGTGATCCTTCTTAAAATGCAAAATATCACCTGTCCCACACAAATTTAATGTGGCAACAAGAGTAATGTATTCCATTAACCAGAAGCCAGTCACTAATGAGGCCCCAAAGGACAGCTGGATTTGACTGAGACCCTAGAGGACAAATTGATCTAGAGCTCTGAATGAGATGCTGGCATGGGTGAGGGTCCAAGCAAAAGCACAGGACAGGGAGAGTGTGAGAAGGAAGCCACATAAAGGAAGCAAATGCAGAAAGGAGAACAAAGTGGCTTAGGGAATATATTTGCTAATCTCAAAATTTTGTTGTAAACCAGCCTTGCCCTAACATGTTTGATGAAACTTACATCTGCCACCAAACTGGAAAACCTTGGTCCTCAGTGCCACCTGACTTAACGCTCTCTCCTGTTAGCTGCATGATGGTACACCCCTGCCAGGGACCACTACTCACTCATTTTCCCCAGGAAAAAGGAAAATGAGAGAATGTTTACAGTTTTTATAGTTTTAATCCTCAGTGGTTTCAGATGGTCTGAAGGGAACAGGTTGAGTCACCCCTTCCATGCAGCCCAAAGATGCCATGAAAATATCAATGTCTAGGCTCCCTACAATTTAATGAGAAGAGTGTGACAGGCCAGAATGAATCAAAACGCAGGTACAGAACAAAGACAGGACTTTAAGCTGACCTACAGAGCAGGTGATTGTTAATCACTCCAGGAATTAAATTAAAAGAGCTTCTCTCTGGTCCTGTAATAGGGACAGCAGTACCACAGACCTCTCTGTGGGCTGCAGCAAGCTCCTTTCCTTCCAGCCAACAGGTGACCATTTCCCTTTTCCCCAGGGAGGAAAACCACATGTGTTTAATTGGGGGAGAAATAGCCAATTCAGCCAGAAAGGGAGCCATCTGGAGATAGATTCACCAACTCATTGGACATGACAGGGCACATCCTCAAGTCTGTCCAGGGAACCCTGGGGTCCCGAGGGACTGGCATCCCCAAGAAACAGCTCTTAAATTGGTTCCCCATTTGCTGCCGAGTGCACACCCTGCATTCAGGGCAGAGACCACTGCTTCATGGCACCTGGAGACATAGGCAGATTAATGAGTCAGTCACCGACACACGCTCACCTGTGCTGCGATGGCTAACGAATCCCAAGTACTGCCAAGCTGAGAGGGGAAGACACAAACTTGGGCTCTGCAGCTACTTAGCCCTTCTGACAAAGCTAAGAGTATAATGACCCGGTAACTCTGAAGAATAACATCTTGTCAGGACAGTGACGAAACAGGCATATCCCCACATGAAAAATGAGTGCCCTTCCAACAACTGTGGATCAGTCACAGCCTCCTCGCAGCACGGGGGTCAGAATTTCTGCCTCTCGTTTACGCGGAAACTGGCGTTTGAAAGCTATCACTCCGGATTCACTTTGACACCCTCTGCAAGAAAAACTTCATCTGCTTGTATTTGCTAACCAGATTCAAACCAATTAATTGTGACTCATTTCAATCGAGAAACACTCATGCAGCCAGAGCCCTGTGCAAAACAAGTTTCAGAGTTAAGAGTGTGGTGCTTTTCCTGGGATTTTCTATGTAGGTTACCATGGTACTCTCTCTGAACATATTTCATATTTAAAATATACAAAAATACCACAGGAACTATTTGGGCAATGTCTGGAGGGAACCGCCCACAACTAATGCACATGCATCTCACATTATTTTACAGCTGGTTAGATTGGCTTCCAGCAGAACTGGTTTATTTAGTCTTTTTCTAAGTCATACAATTATTATTTCTGTGACTTTCCATCTGAGGAAACTGGAGCAGAGTGAAGTGGTCCAGTCACACCACAGCTAGTGTGAGCTGAGAAAGAATCAGGCTCTGGCGGCAGGACAGCCAGGACTAGCCCCCATCCACTGCATCTGCCCCATGGATGGATCAAGCACAGGGGCCCTGAAAATCTCTACCACCTTCAGCTCACATTCACCCCACTTTCTGTCCCAGGTGTAATGAATTTCAATTACTTTCATACAGTTAATTTCATTGCCTTTTCTAGGGATTGATCCTCTTTTAAAATAATGACACCTTACAAGGGAAACACCCCGGGAGTACCTCACTGGGAAGAGTTCATAAACGGATTTCTTCTATTATAGGAGGAATGTCAAGCACTGGGAGAAGGTTGGGTTGAGTGGCTGGAAATGAGAAGGATGCTGAAATGAGGGTAAACAATTTGGAAAGAGAATGTGGGAAAAAAACAGACATATTTTGCCTGTTGCAGTTTTTCCAAGGATTGTTGTCCCTTTCTCTCTTTTCTCTTCCTCATCCGCAAGAAGGAACATCTTAAGAGATGTCCCATCTGCTTATGAAGGTCTGGGGATGAAAAATATATATATATATTCTTTATCAGCCAAAACAAACATGTGCAATTCTTTAGCAGATGTATACCCAAACCTTACATAGGCTAATATTTTTTCATGGGTCTCCCTGTGTTGCCCAGGCTGGTCTCAAACTCCTAGGCTCAAGCAATCCTCCCGCCTCAGCCTCCTGAGTAGTCAAAATCAAAGAATTTCCAGTTTTGTTTGGGACTTTTTCACCTGTAGCAGAGACATAATATGCAATGCTGCAAATTTTTCTCACGAGTTTACTGGGTGCAGTGACTCTTAGGACTTTAATGGCAAGAGTTCTCTTGTAGTGCTTCTCTCCCAGGCCTGCCTCCACACATACAGGTGGCCAATATCTACCCTGACTTGTAAATTCCTAAGACATACCAGTATGTAGTCTTCAGTTTGCTCCAGGATTTGATATGCACTTGAACTACACTGGATTTTCAGAGCTGAAGGACAGAAGAGGAAATAACACAGTTACATAAGTCCGGGCAACATCCCTTGCTTTTGCCTTGCCCTGAAAAACTGAGCAACTCTGAAACATGACCAAGAAAATTCAACTTCAAGAATCTCACCTAGTGAAGAGGTACCTCAGAGCACATCCCAGCAAACATCCCCCAAGTGCCTCACATATAATAATAAGCTATGCCTGATTAGCTTTTCCCATCACAGTTATGTGGCAGGGGCTGCTGACCTGGGGCAAAAATCTTCTATATTCTAGAGAAAAGTTGGTGTCTACTCTTTCTGGACAGTTTTTCAGGGATATCTGCCCCTTCTTATCACATACCTCCCTCAAGCAGCCTGCTTTTAGCTACCTGTGAGAAAAGTGATCAGAGCAAGGTAAACATATGAAGCCCCCTGAAAACTCTGCACTCTCATTCTAACCGTGTATTGGAGCCAAGATGGTGGGTCTGCCTTGTCAGGTGCATCCCGCATCATGAATTTTTATTATTATTTTTTTTAGACAGAGTCTTGCTCTGTTGCCAGGCTGGAGTGCAATGGCACGATCTCAGCTCACTGCAACCTCCGCCTTCCAGGTTCAAGCGATTCTCCTGCCTCAGCCTCCTGAGAAGCTGGGATTACAGACATGCACCACCACACCTGGTTTAGTAGAGATGGGGTTTCACCATGTTGACCAAGCTGGTCTCGAACTCCTGACCTTGTGATACGCCCAACTCAGCCTCCCAAAGTGCTGGGATTACAGGCATAAGCCACCACGCCTGGCCCACATCATGATTTTTGCCCCAGCCATGCCCTCACCTGTGCTATTATTCAGTTAACATCTTTCTTTAAGTGGCCTCAATTAATCTTTTTAATAAAGAGTAGGAAAACTTAAGAGAGTCAAAAGCATCTTACTACCAAAGTAATTCCCATTTTTCCCTGACAATCAGAAGCACTGAAATAAAACAGAAAAACAAACAACTTTCTCATGATGTGACTTAATGATAAGCTCTTGTCTCTTGACCATCTAAAATCACCTACTGGCTGATCCAAAGGTAGTGAGTTATCCCAATTGATTGTTCACAGCCAGTTACAGATCAAACTGCTTGTTCTACGCTTTCTCCTCTTCTCATTACTGCACTTGACTAGTCTAAGACTAAATAAATATTAATAAGTAAATAAATAAAATCACCTAGTAGTATGACCTCATGTTTGGGGATGAGGGCCTCTAGGAAAAGCCCAAGCTCCCTCTCGCACACCTGCACATGCATACACATGTACACATCCACACCCCACCTTCCACACACGTGTCACCATGGAGAAACTCGGATCCGTCATCAAGTACCTCACACTGGGCCATAGCTGTCAGCAGAGATTGGGACCTTGGATGCTTACACCAAAAGGATTAAGTCTAATGTGACATGGCGCCCTTCCTAGATCTCTTCCAGATCACCCCTCCTCCTTCACTTCTTCCCACTCCACTGGGTGGTCAGATAGCCCAGAGGCTGCCTCCCACTTACGGGGCTCCCAGCTCCCACACTCACCCCTTGGAAAAAAACAAATCTGGGGGACCCAGAGGAGGCATGGAGAGAACAGCTGAAGCTAGCCTGTTTGGGGCCTCCAAGAAAAGAATTCTGAGCTCTGCATAGGTCTTTTGGACCTTCTTTCATCCAGAGCCTTAGGATCCTGGAGTGGATCCCAAGGAGCCTTGAGCTGTGGGGCATAGGAACTTCTCTTGCTCAAAGTGGTTCTGCTCAGTCAGCAGGATCTGAATGTCATTTCCTCTGACAGTCAACCCTAAACCTTGTTAACAAGTGACAACACTGAGTGGACAACCCTGTGTTTTTATTGCCCTGCCCACCTAATTAAGCTTCATTAAGCTGGAAAGAGGCGACCTTTGGATAATGCCAACCAGAATAATTGTTCCCTGAATAATTGTATTAATTATATAAGCCAATCATGACTGAACAGAAATAATGGAAAGTATATTACTTCTAATAAGGCAAGTAATAAACTTGAAACAGCACTTACCATTTAAAACATTTTTATACTAAAATTCTCTTTTGAAGCCCCATAAAGACATTATATCATATTAATAGTTATTACCATTTGTTGGCCCTGACTATATACCAAGTACTGTGTTAAGATTCTAATAAGCACTATGTCATTTTATCCTTATAGCTTCCCTAAGAAGTAGTAAGACTCACCCCCATTGTATGCATTAGGTAACTGAGGCTAAGGGAGGCTAAATACATGCCCAAGAGAACAGAGCTTTATAAATTGCAGAGCCAGGATCTCAAATCCTGTGCCTTAAACAGTTCAATAATATCACCCTAGATCCTAAACTACCTTCGCTCATACACACGAATCATGGAAAGCAGAAAATGAGAGAGCTTAAATACCATTGTCTATAGAACAGAGGATACATTTGCCTTATTTTGAGCTTTTACCAACCCAGTAGAGATTTGGAGAAAAGGCTTTTAGTTGAATTCTAATATTTTGCTACTTGAGTCTTTCACTTTTAGGTAAAGAGCCTCCATTAATGAATGAAAGTGATTTTTAAAAGGGCATGGCTTAGGACCTTTGAGTATCATTTTTGGTTTTAAGTAACACAAATAACCTGGCTGGTAATGCGTCATAACCAGAAATCCAAATGGAAATTTTCCACTTGTTGGTTGGCTTTTGAAAGATGGCCTTAATGTTCCCCTCAGCATGACAAACTTTAGACAGCTTTCTCTGACGTCCCTTTCTTAGAGCATTTATTTTAGAAAACTTGCAATTGTAAATTATTTCTGATCCTTTGAGATGTACATCTTCTCCCAGCCTCTTGCCACTTTTGTAACCCAGGAATATCTTTCTTAAGGATCTGGGGGCCATCCTTTGAAATGTAATTATCAAGAAAGACAGTGCCCCTATCTCCCAGACTTTGTAGAAGACTAAGAACCTAACCTCAGTGAAGACCAACTGGGCCTAATTACATTGACCAACCTACTCCCTAACATACTCTAGTACTTTTCCACTAGCTCACCCAGAGCTTTAAAAATGCTCCCTCTCTTGTTTTAGTGGAGTTGAGTTCAATCCCTCTCCTCTATTGCAATCATCTTGAATAGCCTTCCTTGACTAACTCCATCTGGTGCAATTTTTCTTTGATTTACTGTAACCCATGCCAACACATCTTCTCATACTGGTGATGACTGTGTGCCTGTCACGACCCAGGGACTGCAGATGCTCTTATAAGATGATGAGGTGGAAATGAGTGCTTGTGGGTTTGGGGGCCATTTCTGATCCACGTCTTCTACTCCCCTGTGATCAGCTAGCAGGGAGGCTATAGGGAAATCATCCCAATATTGGCAAAAATCACCACATTCAGCCTGTCTCGGACCTCCACCTGTACCCATGCCCCTATCACCAGGGCTACTTTCCACTCTTTGGAGCATCACTTAGGTTCATATGAGCTTCTTCAGGGAAGTAAACGCCCCCTGAACTGAACTCAAGTAGAATACACCTGGAAATGTTTGGGACTGTGATGGTTAATATTAAGTGTCAACTTGATTGGATAGAAGGAGGCAAAGTATTGTTTCTGAGTGTATCTGCGTGCTTCTGAGTGTTACCAGAAGAGATTAACATTGGAGTCAGTGGACTAGGAGAGGAAGACCCACCCTCAGGAAGACCCACCCACACTGTGGGTGGCCACCATCCAATTAGCTGCCAGTACAGCTAGAAAAAGCAGGCAGAAGAAGGTGGAAGAATCTGATTTGCTGGGTCTTCCAGCCTTCATCTTTCTCCCATGCCAGATGCTTCCTGCCCTTGAACATCAGTCTCCAAGTTCTTTGGCTTTTGGACTCTGGACTTACACCAGTGGTTTGTCAGGGGCTCTCAGGCCTTTGGCCACAGACTGAAGGCTGCACTATTGGCTTACCTACTTTTGAGCTTTTGGGACTCGGACTGGGCCACTACTGGCTTCCTTGCTCCTCAACTTGCAGATGGCCTATCATAGGACTTCACCTTGTGATCATGTGAGTCAATGCTGCTTAATAAACTCCCTTTCAAATATGCATTCATTCTATTAGTTCTGTCCCTCTAGAGAACCCTGACTAATACAGGGACCCTACTATCTTGAAGACCATGAAGAATGTGCAGATCACAATTGGCTCACTGAAACAATAACCTTATATTTCACAAAATTTCCATCCAGCTTGCACTGTCTTCTGTGCAGAGCCCCGGTGATGTTTCCCCCTCCCCTAAACACTCCCCCTGCTCATCAAGCCGTGCAAGTTCTCATCTAAGCAGTTGTGATGTTAATGCCCTGTATTGGACCTATTTGGATTCGACAAATAGAACCTTAAAAGAAAAAAAGGTTTTAAGGGTTTTTTTTTAGAAGGCAGCAGACGGAGGAATTACCACATAATTTGATGTGTGGCTGTGATCTGAGAGACCAAAATAAAAGCCCCTTTATTGACTAAGATGAACCCTAAGGTTAAGGAAGCAGAAGTTACCTATGGGTTGAGGGTTCAGGGATCAGCTGGCATGGCAACTTCCTAAATTCCTACAGTTATAAGAAAAACTATTCTTGCTAAACTCTATAACTAGGAGCTACTGGGAAAATTATCAGCTAGTGGACAACCCAGACCACTAGAATGCTGATTGGACAGAGGACCAGCCCTACAAACATTCTTTCCTGATAAGCAACTGCAGACCTTAAGCCAATTTCAGCAGCTTACAGAGACTTCACACAAACTGTCTTTGTGTCCTATAGTTCACCTTCTGATGTAAAGAGCCAAATTTCACCTCATTTTAATGCTAAAACCTGGCCCCAAAGTGAACATGCAATGTATGTCATATATACATTTGCCCAATGAACATGCATTCCCCTCCCCTCATAAATATGTATAACCTTTCCCCCAAACCTGCTGGATATGTGTGACTATTGTGTGATGCAGGCCCTGTGAGGCATAAAACCCAACTTGCCCTTTCCCTCTTTGAAGAGAGAGCACCTTCAGTCCACACCAGAGACTGCCCCTTCCCAGTGTGCAAACTGCTATCACCAATAAAACTCTCCTTTCTGTTATTTAGCCAACCTGGTGGTCTTTTGGACAACATGGGAAAGCACACAAACTAGACTCTTGGAAAAGCAGATCTTTCACCCTCTGCCAGAGGGGGCATCTCACCTTAGCTGGTTACCTCCATTGAGGAGGCTGTGTTCACAGTGCAACAGTGAGAGAAATATAACATAGCTGATTTCATCTTGCTTCTAGTTGCAAAAGTTAACTGCCTTCATTTGTTCTTGCCTGTAAGCCAAGCTAACTGTAGGAGGAATTCAGTTTAACATTAAAGCAAGGATGTTAATATTCCCTTCCCAAAACTAACCCCCAAAGAGACGAGGAGAGCATACACACAATAGCAATGTTATGTTAAAGATTTATAGGAGCATTGTGACCTGACCAAGGACAAAGATGTTTTGCAACCCCCTCAGACTCCAGCTGACACCCAGATATCTGTGGTCACCTGTCATATCCTGACCACAAC